TGATAGGATAGTTTATCACTTTTAGTACCATTTGCATTTCTCTGGATTTTATGTTATTTGAAAAAGAGATATGAATCAAATTTTGAGGATACAGTTTAGTTCTGGAACTGTTTTATTTTTTTCAGAATAGAACATGCAGTTCTCATGAAGATTATTCTTTTTTTAATGTTATAATAGTTTCTTTGTGCTGGTGAGCAAATTCAGGACCATGCTTAGCATGCCCTCTTACCTTGAGCTACATGGTTCTTATCCCATCCCCCAACCTGCAGACTTGTTTTAGATGCACACATAGAAATTGAGGATCTAGATTCCACCCCCTCACACACACACCTTCGGTGGTGCTGGAGATCCAATCCAGGGTCTTGTGCAATGCAGGGCAAGCATTCTACCATTGAGCTATGCCCTCAGCCCAATATTTTTATTTATTTTCATTTTTTAAATAAAGCCTTGAGTTTACTTTCCTATCTGTTTATTCTTTTAAGACCTGAGAAGTAATCAGAGAATATCTTATAATGGGCTGGCTTCCATAAAATTATTTTTTCTCATTAAATATTTGGAAACCTTCAAAGTAGACAGGGAAGAAAATATAAAACTTCTTCTTCCTGGGTTCAAGTTTCAGAGATTGCTGCAAACTCTAATAAGTTTTGTAGATAATGGTGCTTACTAATGTCTTCCTCCTTTTTTATGAGTTTCCCCGTAGGCTGACTTCCACTACTGCATTTGATCCACCTCCTTCATAGTCAGGTAGCAAGCATAATGACTAAGAGTATTTGCTCTGGCTTAGACTTCCTGGGCATCCTTGAGCAAATTACTTTCCTTCTTTCAGTCATCCTTTTTTTCTTTAAAGTGGGGATGTGTTAGTCACTTTCTTATTATTGTGACAAAATCCCTGAGAAAACAACTTAAGTGAGGAAAGATTTATCTTGGCTTATGGTTTTAGACCATCATAGGCAGGGAGGGTGTGGCAGAGAAGAGCACTCACATCCTAGTAGTCAAGAAGCAGAGAAAGAGAATGCCTGCTCTAGTGAAATTTCTCCTTTTCCCCCTTTTATTCCATACTGCTGCCCAGTCAGTGGCATGGTACTGTCCACGTGGGCTTGTCTTGCCCCCATAGTTAATCCTCTCTGGGAACTCCCTTACAGACACACCCAACAGTGTGCTTTACTAATTCCCAGGGTTTTTCAACCCAGTCAAATCTACAATCAAGATTAACTACCACAGGGGATAATAATCTACTCATCCCACAGAGTTGTTGAGAGAACTAAATGAAATGACACAGTGTCTCATTCACTAGGGAAAAAAGGCACACAGGGAAAAGAGAAATCAGACATTGGGCATTCCATGGGGCAATCATGTACTTCATATAGGAAATCCATGCCTGATACCCACATGGCTTCAGATGCAAATGAAACATCCAGTGAAGTACTGACTGCTTCCCTGTGTACTTAAACTGTATGTGTGTAAAGGTAGGCTTTCTCTTTGTATTTAAGGAGTGATTGAACTTTAGTTTTTGCATGTAAAATACATTCAAGTTTATCACTCCCATTGACCTCATAAGAATATATGGGGCATACATGAAATTTTCTTGTTGTATCTCTTCAAAGAGGGAACATTGTAAACTGAACTATAATGTATGCATCTTGAAAGAAATCACACACTTAGTAACGAGTAGTCCTAATCAGTAGTCTTTGAATACTCTCAGAATCTTCATTTTTCTTCTTTGTGAGAAACTGTTCACTACTTTGAGTCATCAGCATCTGTATGAATTTATTGGATTAAATCTGTAGGTAATTAAAGGAACCTTAGCATTTTTAAGATGGCAAATGGTCTTTGTTGCCATTTTTACCCTAGAATGTACTTTGTAAATCTCTTGCTTTAATGTTTGCAGACCTTCTGCTTAAAATGTTCTTTCAGTGCTGTAGTTGGGGAAACAGAGGATAGCTTTAAAACTAGAATTCTTTCCTCTGGAGAAAAACCTGTAGGAAGGAACCGCTCAGGTTGGTTCATTGGTCAGTGTTCAGAGTTTAAGTATAAACAGTACAGTAGAAAGACAGAATTGAAATTTTAAGAGCAGAATTAGTCATAGCTCAGCTTTCTGATGCACATACTTCTCAGAAAGTTATATAACCTCTGAGCCCTGGTTTTGTAATTTGTTCCATAGGAACAATAACGTCTACCTCAAGAGTCAGGAAGATTAAAACATGTTTGTAAAAATGCCCTGAAAACTATCAAGTACAGATCCTTCATTGAGCAAGGGGTTTTGTGCTTTCTTAGCCTAATGATAACCCCACACTACCTGTAGAAACCTGGTCATACCATACTTCTAATTAGAATTTCCTAAAGATACAAACCTCCTGAATCAGTAAGTGTTCACTTAGTACCTACCTTGATGGTAGGCATCATTCCAGATCAGCACTGTTCAGAAGAAATATAATGTGAACACAAGGTAAATTTTCTAGTAGCCACATTAAAAAAAAGTGAAGATAAATAGGTGAGATTAACTTAGTATATTCAAAATACTATCATTTCAGCTTGTAATTAGTATAAAGTCATTGAGAGAGCCTACCTTCATCCTACAGCATCCCACAGCACTTCTCAGTTCACATGAGCCCCATTTGCTCAGAGCCCACATGTGCTCGTGGCTACTGAACTGGGTATTTCTCATCTGGATGATGGGTGAGTGAGGTAGCGTCCTTTCCATAGGAAGGCCACTCTTCTGGAGGGAAACTAGGGACAAATAGAAATAAGAGGACAGTGCAGTCATACTGCCACAGTGGGGCAATAGTGACTAGGCGGGAGGACTACACTAACTGCTAGGCTTAGGAAAGCTCTCTGCGGTGCCGACATTGGAAATGGAACCTGAGTGATTACAGAGGGGGCTCTGACCATGTGAAGATGAATGAGGCTGCCAGTGCAAGGCCTGCAATAGTGTAGCCTTGTGTTTAATGAACCAAATGGTATGGCTGGGTTATAGTTAGCAAGAGCTCTAGAGTAAACTGGGACATCAAGGCCACGAAAAGAAATGGAGATTTTTATTTAAAATGAGTTAAGAAGCTATAGGACGGCTTTAATTAGAACCATGAAGGACACATGAGTTTATAAAGTACAAGTTAGACACTTGTATGACTATAAAAGTATTCCTGAATTAATGAATTATTTATATAATTCAGTGGACCAGAAGACCAAACTTGTTTTTGATACCTGAACCAGTATTTATTTCTTTTCCCTTTTTGTAATCTCTATACAATGACTTAGGGAGAACATCTTTTGAGGACTTTACCTTAGTTAGCTGTCACCTACTCAGAATCCACAAGAACTCTGGAGGCATACTTAGCATAAAGGTTTCACTTATAGTTGGTTTAAAAACAAAATGGCTTTGAGGAGAGACTCAAAAATGTTTATAGCTCTTGGCTCTCTCTGCTCTCTCCCTCTCCCACCTGGCAATAAAGAATCTCTCGGCCAGATGACTCCCCTCCACGTGGTCACTTTGGGGCCTATGTTTCCTTACATTTGGTGCCGTGCCTTGAGGCGGGTTTCCCCACTAATCCTGGTGGGACCCTAATTCCAATTCACCCCACGACCACCCTGAGGACGTGACTGGCCAGGACTCATCCTCCCGATCACCCTCACTTGCATCCGACACCGGACATTCTTTGGCGATTCCAGCTCTGAGAGAGCTCATGCTTTATTCGGTGACCGGAGAGTGGTTTCGTTTCCTGAAAGCCTGCCAGCACCAATCAGTGGGAGCAACCTGGAGACACAGTTGTACCTCCAGGGACACCAACCTCTCCAAAACGCCAGGATAGTTGGCTGATACCCACCATGCGGAGGTCGGAGGATTGGCTCGAGACTCTTTATGACCTATGGCTACAAGGGACCTTCATCAACTTCAGGGAAGAGGAAATCTTCATTTTTGGAGCCTAGGTGTACACCATCATGAGGCTCAGCACCACAACATTGTTTGCCAACTAACCCTCCCTTCCCCTATGCCACCCATTGCCAGCTCGAAGAAGCCAGAGCGAACACAACGCCCCCCTTCCTTAACAAACAAAAAAGGGAGGAATGTTGGCAATAATGGAGCCGATAGGTTTCAGTTCTTTCTGCACCCTTAAGCTTCTGTTTTCCAGGGTCACAGTCCTGCCTCAAGTCTAGCTTGAATCCTCCTTCTGCCCCAACCTCCAATCAGCATGAACCACAAGATCCTAACCAATCAGATCATGCTGAGTCCCACTAAGGGGTATTTAAGCCCCTGCCCCTCTCTCTCTCTCCCTCTCTTGGCTCTCTCTGCTGTCTCCCTCTCCCACCTGGCAATAAAGAATCTCTTGGCCAGATCACTCCTCTCCACGTGGTCACTTTGGGGCCTATATTTCCTTACAGTAACAAAATTATTTACATCAATGATTACAATTACATAAAAATATAATTACATATAAGGATGTACGTTTTACCACATCTATAAAAACACTTCATATTGTCAGAAAATGAAAAAAATTACCAAAATACACATGATCTTACTCCATTATCACTTGAAACATCCATGTAAGTCATATGATAAATAATTTAGGCAAAGGAGTATGTACCATGTAGATTCTCCTTGTATAATTTTAATTAGTTATATAGAAGGAAATACTATCCTTCAATGGACAATTGTTTGTTACAGTCCATCCTTTATGTTTATCAGATTCTGACGCTACTCATATCCTTGAGCAATTTTTACAAACCTTTACAAATTGCAGAGACGGGAGATATATAAATTCTGCCCTGGCTGATAAAAACTTTAATTATGTTCCTCCACTTAGGGAAAACAACTTGTCCATTTTCATTTTTGTCTTAAAATCCTTTTATTTCTCATACAGTTGTACTGCGTTTACTTTTCTCTTGAATAGATTATATCTGCATGGTAGAGGCAGGAATAAAGAATGAATAAATTCTTTTTATGAGTTAAAAAATGTTTATACAGTGGATCTACTTCTAATTGTCTCTTTTTAATATTTTGGCAGACATGTGCATTGCTATTGCAATTTCTCTCCTCATGATCCTCATATGTGCAATGGCGACTTACGGAGCATACAAGGTAAGCAGCTACAGTAAGATGTCAGGCCTTTTCCTCAGTTCCTTACACAAAATCCACGCAGCTCTTTATAGTAAGTGTGACGTCATTATTCCCAGCTTTCTGTAAGAATCTTTGGATAGCTCTCACTAATAATCCTAGGAAAAACCAATAAAACTACTTTTAAAATCCCAGACACATTCCCTCAGTCATTTATTAACTACTGCTTGGCATAACAGTTGCCATTACAACCTAGTTTAATGACTTTCAAATCTTCTATCTCCCTGCAGATTAGTAAAAGGCTCCTTTGAACCCAACAAAATGTTTATGATACTGAACTCATTAACATTCTGTTTTCTCATGTTTAGCAACACGCTGCCTGGATTATCCCATTCTTCTGTTACCAGATCTTCGATTTTGCCCTGAACACCTTGGTTGCAATCACTGTGCTTGTTTACCCAAACTCCATTCAGGAGTACATACGACAGCTGGTATGTGAACCTCCCAGTGACTGCTTCTTGTTATGAGGGAAAACTGGTTAAATAGGGGACATGGAGGTACAGAGCTAGACATACACACATACTAATTTGTGGATTTTTTATTCCCGTCTGAGTTCTTCATCAGAGATGTTTTTAATGTTACCTGAAAGATAAGACTTACAGTGGCCTAAGATATTTTTTGGAAAATCCTAACCTCCCTGAGCCTGAGAGAGATAAGGTGGTAGCAGCAATCGGGCATTTGATGTGCCTACCCACAGTATAATCTACTTGCTAATAATCGTATTTCGTGGAATGAAATTTGCTCAGGTGCCAGCAAAGGATAGCTTTTTGCCTCTGTTCTTGTATGGCAAAAGTGGAACTCTGCTAGGCAGTGGTTTCCAAACTTACTTGACCATAGAACCCTTTTCTTCCCCAAGTGTCACTTGGGGACTAGTTTCCTACTAAGTGTTCTTTGTGACCATATGAGCAAGTATTTATGGCTGGGTACTGGGTACTAAGAGGCTTGTAGCAGTTGGCAAGGTAGGAATACTTGTGTGCCTTTACATTTTTTCATCCATTGTTTTTAGAATTGTGACTTAAAGTTTAGCTTCTTCAATATCTTGAACTGTTTTAAGTGGCAAGAATGCTTACTCTTGGAGTTTTTTGTTTTATTTTGTTCTGTTGCAATACTGGGGATTGAATCCAGGGTCTCCTGCCTGCTACCTAAGTACTCCACTACTGAACCACCTCTCAAGTCCTTGCTAAATTGTCCAGGCTAACCTCAAACTCCATCTTCCTGTCTCAGCCTCCTGAGTAGCTGGGATTGCAGCTCTTGGAGTTTTTATAGTAGGTTTCTTCTGGTGTGAGAGTGGTGAGGCTGGGGGTATGTGATATGACAATGGGAGTGGAAAGGTGCAGTAGAAATGAGAGCAATGGAGGAACTTGGGGGAGGAAATGAGGCAAGAGAAATTTGTGATTATTATTTTAGGATTAGAACTCAGGGCTTTGCACTTGTTAGGCAAGCATTCTACCACTTAATCCACACTTCAAGTCTGAGAAGTTTGTGATCTTGATTACAGTCATCCCCTGATCCCATCACTGGTTCCTGGCAGACCCAGGACAGAAAGCCTCTAGTGTTTTACATCTTAGATAGCTCTCTGCTGGTTGTCATACTTGTTAGTAATGTCTTCTCTTTGTTTTAGAAAACAGATTCATAGTTTGGTAGACCATGGTTTCAAGGATGTTCTCATGAGGGGTTTATATGATGAGCATGTAGTAGAATTACCTCTTTGCCGAAGGACTTGTTTTTACTTAGTGATGATGACCTGGTACTGTGCTTCTAAAATCACCTTGAAGTGAGGGTACACAGTCACAGCATCACCTGTCATGCGAGTCGCTGATCATTAAGGAGGCATGAAGATGAACCAGTGGCAGCCCTGTGGCTGTTTGATTAGATTTTGTGCCATATTCTATAGACTGCAGAGATTTATAAAGCACACAGAACTTGCTACGTGAGCAGGCTTGGAGAAGACTGAAGAAAGCTACAAAGACTTCTTTTTGTGTCAACATTGTCATTTGGTTTAGAGCCATCAATGGTACAGTGATGATGCTGATAGTAATTACAATGTCCTTAAAAAAAATCACTCACTTTTATTTTTAATAGTTGTAAACCAAATAATACAAGTGAATATCTTCTGTATATTTTTCCTAAAGATCAGTTTGAGCTGGGCATGGTGACACATGACGAGGATTATGAGTTAAAGGCCAGCTGAGACCCTGTCTCAAGAAAAAAAGATCATCAGTCTGGGCTGTAATAGCAAGGCCTCCACATTATCAGCATTGCTTAAGAGACACTAATTAATGGGAATATTGAAGTGTCTTGATATTGAGGCCCCTGTTGATAGAAATAGAGTGAGAGAGAAGCTATTTTCTGAGAAGGCTGCAGGCAAATCCCATTTAATTCTAATGTTTGTTTTTCTGTTCATATGGAGTCCTATAAAAACACATTTGAAATGAGTTATGCATGTGTTTTTGTAGATCTCAACTGTATATACAACCCATGTCCACTTTTTTGGGGTAAAAGTATCAAGCTCTTTCGTGTAAAGGATCACACACTTCCACTTTAATCCCATTCTCTTCCTGTACTGGGGATTGTGCATGCCAGGCCAGGGCTGTACCACTGAGCTACCTCTTACTTAGCCCTTTGCTTAATCAGACACAGAAACAATAGGACTTTTCGTAGGTCTTGGGAACCACATCAGGTTATTTTACGCTTGTCTTTTTAAGATCAGCACTACAAAACAAAACAAAACAAAACAAAAAACAAGCTCCGAGATAAAGGACTATTTTCATGAACTGATCATAAAAAACACCTGGATTTTATTTCTTAGCTATTTTATCCATGGTAAAGATTTGAAAGCCATTATGTGGCATTCACCCTGAGAACTAGGAGCCAGGCACATGAATTACTGGTTTTCTCCATGTTCTTTGACATTGAAAGCTCTGTGTTGCTCATGCAAAATGCAAACATACAGAATTTGGTGGTGAAAAAGATTTGAAAGGTGACATGGCACACTGGGTTGCCTTGTATTACGTTGACCCAGGCCAGTCACTTAGGCATTGATCATGCTATGTGGGTGTGACTAGGGGAAGTCCTTTCATTCCCACTAATCATCGCAGACTCTGATCCTCCTAAAAGATTTCCTTTTGACCTGACAGTATGCCCATATAGTCAGATGGCAGAACTTTATTTTTGTGGTGGTGGAGATCAAGCATAGGTTCCTCAAACCATGATAAACATGTTCTAGTGCTGAGTCACACCTCAACCCCTGATTATTATTTTAAAATTCTGTAAATTTCTGCTGAAGTAACATCATCAAAACTACCCTTATAAGATACCAGAGTCAACCCTTTGTCCTGCACACACCATTTATACAGTCCAGAATTTGTAAAAATCCAAATACAAAAATAAATAAATAAATCCAAATACCAGAGGTATTTAGTATTTCTGGATACAGACCACTGACTTCTAACTTCATATAATGAGAGGGTAAACTGATGTTTTCAGGTCTGACTCATGACTCTTTCTGGAATTACTGCCTAAATTATGAACAGACTGGTCTCTCCCTATCACACCTTCTGAGGCCTTTTCATAAGTAGATGTAGATGAAAATTTTGTGCTGGTCCTAAGTAATAGCTGTCTGTTTTAACCAATTTCTTCCTGATAAGCATATCTAATGGCTGCCTAAGGAATTATCTTGAATAATTAGTGAAATTTGCTAATAAGGTCCCTTTCTTTTTCAGCCTCCTGATTTTCCCTACAAAGATGAAATAATGTCAGTGAATCCTACCTGTTTGGTACTTATTATTCTTCTGTTTATCAGCATTATCTTGACATTTAAGGTGAGCATGACGTTTTCTTTCTTTCTCTCTTTTTTTTTTTGAACTTAGGGCCTCACATGAGCCAGGCATGCACTGTGCCACTTGAGACACTCCTCCCGCCCTGCATAAAGATCTTATAGTTTAAATATTAAATGTATTCCTGAATGCCTAAGAAATAAACAAACGAGTCAGTTCATTGTTTGAACTGCTCTTTAATTTCCCTAACATTGCAATTTCTTCTCTTATCTAATTAGATAAACACTAACTAGAATTCTACAGGCCAATCAAGGGTTATTCCAAAATATGGGAATAAATTAATGTTATATATTACATAGTATATAATGTACTGCAATATGCACTACAATGTCATTCTTTTGTTACTTGTTTTTAAAATAAATATTCTGCACTGTTGTATCAATCCATTTTATGAGTATAATTATTTAATAAATTACCTGTTGTTGGAATGGAGGTGGTGTCTGCTTTTTCTCTTTATCAGCAGTGCTACAATGATAAACACATGTAGTTCCTTGATTATGTATGTGTGTGGGGGGGTGATGGGATGGGTACCCAGGTTATTGTGCATGCTAGGTAAGTTCTTTACTACTGAGCTATACTTCCAGCCTAAGATATGCTTTCTTAAGGTCAGAGGGCACGCACAGTTTGAAGGCCTTTAACAGGTTGTCAGATTGATCCCCCAAAAAGTTAAACAACTTGTTGCTTCATTAGCAGTGTCCCCATACTCTTGTAAATCATGTACTCCCTGTTTTTATCAATCTCATTGTCAGTACTTCGTTATAATTTGCCTTTATTTTGGGATAAAATTACCCTATTCTTCAAAAAACAGACCACAGTAAGCTTAAGGAAACTGCAGTTAGGGAGAAAAGTAATTTTAAACAAGTAATATGATAAAGAAAAGACAGAAAATGCTAAGAAGGAGAGTTGGAAGAGTGAGAGTAATGGAGGGGATGAACCAAACCGGAGTACAATGTATGTATATATGGAAATGTTACAATGAAACCCCCTGTATACCTATCATATACTAATAATTTAAAAAAAAATGAAAAGATAGAAAATGATTCATTGTGTATCAGTTGGAAGTGTGGAGGTGTACCTCAGTGGTAGAATGTGTGCATGGCATGCTCAAGGCATGGGTTGGATCCCCAGCACCAAGAAAAAAGAAAAAAATCAAGTCAGTTTTCCCCATAACATCACTCTGGACCTTTTTGATAGTGCATGTGTACTTTAATAGTCAAAGATTTGGGTGAATTTTATACATAGATGTTGGGATTTACTGCTTGGCAATTCTCACTCCTCCCTCCAACTTTCTGGCTCCCAGTATTGTCTTCTTACCTCCAAGCTTCTGAGGCTCGGGTTCCATGTTAAATCAAGCTATGTGTGGAGTTGATAACATTCCTGTGAAAGGCCACAGACTGACGTCTCTGCAGCTTTTCATTCACGGACAGATTTTTACCTCTGTCTGCTTTTCATCACTGCATGCCATAAAATTGTGTGTATTTATTTCAGATTTTATAATTTTTACTGCAGGAAAGAAATGTTGTGTGACTAAGCTACCTTTACTATTACCAAAAGGTAGAACTTCCCAGTTCACTTTAAAAAGTCATTTTTGATTTTGTAGATATTGTCATTTGTATTAGAAATGTTCACTTTAGTATTGAATTAGAGGACCTAGGCTGACTTCTGTTACTGCTGCTTCTGGCTGTGTGGCCAGGGCCTCAGAATCTTCATTTACTAAATAGCAATAATAATTAATAAAACATCCTACTGGGTGATTGTGAGATTTAAGTAAGATGATAGATGGGAAGGTACATCCTTTATTCATTCATTCATTTAGTCCATGAATACAGTAGTCTCAGTTATCCAAGGTTTCCCATCCTGTGGTATTAGTTACCTACAGTTGAGCACAGTCCAAAAATGTTAAATGGAAAAATTCTGTATTTTCAGAGGTGGGGGAGTGGGGTAGGCAGAGAGAATATACACATTTACATACCCTTTATTACAGTATATTTTTATAATTATTTTATTATAAGTTCTGTACTGGGCCTAATTTATAAATCAAATTTTATCATAGATAATATCTCTATAGGGGAAAGCATAGGGCACGTACAGGGTTCAGTACTGTCCATGGTTTTAGACATCCACTAGGGGTCTTGGAGTGTATCACCTCAGGACAAGGGACAGCTGTACTCTGTTGTGGGTATTGGGGTTTGGTAGTGAGTAAGAAAAGTCCCTGCCCTGTGGTACTTTTATAAATGGACAAACATGGATATCAATTACAATAATTGTCTCATAAAAGGCATCATATAAATTGTTCATAGTACTGTCTTCAACTTGATGGAGATAAATATTTATTTGCTTACATCTCTTATCTCCTCACCTGACTACATTGCATTTCTTTGAGAATGTGGTCTGTGCCTTCATTTTTAGATCCCTCTTAGCAAGAAGCTGATGCTTTACACCTGGAAAGTATTATTAACATTAATAATAATTATAATTAATTATTATTTTAATACAAGTATGGTGGTGTGGTTTCACATCGCAGTTTATTGGGTTAGATATAACAGGCGGAGGTCTTTCTCCTACTTGCATGCACAGTGAGTTAACCTGTGGTATTTCCTGGGGGCTTTGGGAGTGCTGACTGTGGATTGTGGAAGTCTCAAGACACCAAGTACTTCACATTTGTCTGTTGGTAAGCTTCTCAGTTACAGATTTGTTGCTTTAAAGGCCTCACATCTGAAAGAGTTTTTGTATTAAGAAATTCACTGTTCACTGCTAAAGTATTGGATGAATGATCATTTTACTTGGCACATAATTAATATATTTAAGCATTCACTATCTGTTTGCATTGAAATTCTTAACAAAGGGCTTTTCTTCTCCAGTAAAAAAGGGTAACATTGCAGACTAAACAGAAATTTTGAATAAGTTAAATATTTTGTGTACATTGTTCTAAAAAAATATGCCTTTCCATTTTTCTTTCTTATTATTGATCTGTGCTTTCAGAATATTGTCATTCAAGAAGCATTTTATAAAATAGTGTTAAGCATTTTTATTTTAATATCATTACAAAAGTTAAATGCAGAGCTGGATGGGGTTAGGCACACCTATAGTCCCAGTACCTGGGAGGCTGAGGCAGGATTGCGAGTTTGAGGTCAGCTTGGGCTATACTGCTGAGGCCCTGTCTTGAAAAACAAATAAAAAGTTAAATCAAGAAATAATCAGCATCAAATATGGCTGTAGCTTAAGGTAGTATTCTGAGTATTTGACAAGTAATTTTACCTCTTTTTTACCTAAATGTCTTTCGTACAAAACATTTACTAATGTATAAGAAACATCACAAAATTCACCCCATTTAGTGTACAAATTTAGTGGGTTTTAATATATTTACAGAATTGTGCAGTCATAGCTCTGTGGTTGCACAAGGTAATTTTAGAATTTCCGTATCAGTTGGCATTCAGTCTTACTCCATTCCTAACTCCTGGCAGTCAGTCACTAAGCTACTTTTTGTCTGTATAGATTTGCCCATTCTGGACATTTCATATCAATACAGGCATATAATAGGTGGTTCTTTGTGACTGACTTCTTTTACTCAGCATCTTTTCAGGATTCCTTTATGGTGTTCCCATGTATCAGTTTTCTCCTCTCTTGTGGTATATGTATCCATCAGTTCATAGACATTTGTGTTGCTTCTACTTTTGGGCTATTAGGAATAAGGCTGCTCTGCACATTAATGTACACAGTTGGAGTGTATGTATGTTTTCATTTAAATTCCTTGGATATATGCCTAGGGATGGAATTGCTGGGTCATATGGCAACTCAGTCTAACCTTTTAAGGATCTGCCAGACTTTTCCAAAGTGTCTGTACCATTTTACATTCTCACCAGTTCCTCTGTGTTTAAACTTGTTTTAATTGAAAGATTTTAAAGCTAGGAAGAAATTTTGAAATAACTTAGTTCTAATCCAGATGATTGCAATGAAAGTGCAGAGAATTCAAGATTTAAACATCTTCCATGAACTTGTGCTTTAGCTCTAGCACTTCTGGACATTAATTTTAAGTATATTCTTTGGATATTTCATTTTGAAAAATGAAATATTTTAGTGAATTTTATGGACTATGAAGTAAATTAATATGTTGTGAATCCTTTTTTTTAATTGACTTGTTTAATAAAATCATAATCATGTGGGGTGACTGAGGTAGGAATACGGTTAAGTTTGAATCAGCCTGTCTCAGCACCTCACACCCCAAAAAGTATTGCCAAAAAAAAGCAGGAAAAGAGCAGTAATAATTGGGTTAATAATACATTTGATCTGTGAATTTGGAGACATTAAATGTTTGTAGTGATTGTTCCTTCTAACTGCCTTTTCTTAGCGATACCTTGTTCTACACTCAGTCCTTCCCTCCCTAACCTCATCTGCTCCCACAGGTGCACAGTGTGATTGAGTGAGACTACAGAATAAACCCTTGCTAGAAAGTTACTGTGCTCAACATTTGCGGTTTTAAAGTAGAGCTAACGTGCATTTAGATTATGTGAATAAAAATTTTATAGGATAGCTTTATGTATTAAATTGTCTGCGGTTTGAAAATTAAAAATCCAATGTCCATTACTTAATTTCAGGGTTACTTGATTAGCTGTGTTTGGAACTGTTACCGATACATCAATGGCAGGAGCTCCTCTGATGTTTGGTTTATGTTACCAGCAATGACACTACGGTAGGTGTGATGTCACTTGAGGTGAGATCTCACCATTTATTATATGATGTTTACTAATATTTCTAGTGTTTGCTACTTCTAATTGTTGAAACATATTCCTCATCTGGTTAGTCCCCATAGTTAAATGTATTTCATTTTCTTTACAGATTGTTAAAATATAGATAACTCAACTTGTGGGGTTTTTTTTTTTAAATATTACAGGTAGTCTTAGTATTTTGTTGCGGTGACAAATGCTTGAGAGAAACAATTTAAAAGGAATTTAAAAGGAGGAAAGAAAGATTTATTTTGGCCTGAATTTCAGAGGTTTCATTCTATGGTTGACTTCCTACATTATTATGGCCCTATGGTGAGATACTATATAATGGCAATAGGAACATAGGGTGGAAGGAGGCTGCTCACCTGAGCAAAAACAGAAACCTAGATACAAGATATAACCCTTAAGGACATGCCCCCAGTGACCTATTTCCTCTAAATGGGCCCCAGTTATAAAAGTTTCCATTGCTGTCCAAAACCTCTAGTATTTCATATAACATGTACGGTTCAACCCTTTAAAGAATTCCTCTTGGATCAGTAAATCTCTTTAGATAATTAAGTATTTAAAATTACTATAATTTTGTTAAAATAACTGACTCAAGAATTTTTTTTTTCTCTGTGTTAATATTTAGTTATCAATAAATTAATTTTTTGCTTTGAAAAAAAAAATCTTGTGAGTACAGTTACTGTCCTGTTGAACAAATGAAAAACCTAAACAGAGTTTGAGGTTTTGAGTTTGAGGAACCAAAAAAGTTGTTAAATGAACAAGATATATCAGAACCTCATCCTGAATTTGTTGGTGTGTAGGGCTCAAATCTTTTAGAAGCATGTCTTTTTCTGATATACCTTTCATCGTGGCTTTTTTCCCCTGTAGAAATTTTATAGAAGCTGTGGTTAGAGAATTTAAGAAAACCATAAGGAGGTTCCTAAAATATGTCCTACAGTCTTCTAGAGAAAAATTTTTATTTTTCCTCTTTGAAAGAAATAAAATAGGCATGTAGTAACAGGTAAGTTTTATTTAGGCTTACTTCTAAAAATTATCAAAATGGTTGTACTTTTCAGCTGAACATCCCCAGCTGTTCTACCAACAGGCTACTTCTCAGAAAGACTTGCAGCTGGGCAGCGGTTCCTGTTCACTAGCATTTGGGGCCCAGGCGTGGTACTAACTATGACTGACTATTCCCTGCCACTTTGACTATTAGTCACTAGGAGATGCTTGATGGTAGTTGTTGGTCATCTTTCCCTTAATCTTTCTGTATTCCATGTCAGCTTGCTATTTTTAAGATGAGGATCTTGAGTTTGAAGCCAGCCTGTTTTACATAATGTGATCCTGTCAAAACTCAGAAAGAGAGAGCCAGAGAGAGCTGTCCTTCATTATCCTTGGCTACTCATTGGTTCTCTTGATAAGGATAACTATATTTGGTTTTGTTCTCTTTGTCAGTTTTCAAAATAACAAGTTGGTCCATCACTTTCTAGTAGTGACCAATGACTGTTTTTAATAAGTGAATAAATATGTTTTAAAATAAAGAGCTGAGGACGTCCAATTGAAAAGTATAATAAATTTTGCATAAGTAAGCCTATTTTATGCCTGTTTTATGTTTTTCAAAGGAGAAAATTAAGTTTGCTATAAACAGCCAGTATATTACATTAATGTGATTAATGCTCAAATTGTAGCGTCTTTGGCTACCTGGACCCTCATTAAGATAGCTTCTGAGTCTGTTGTCTTTGATGGCTTCCTTGCTGTCTGGTATGACAGTATGTCCTAGGCTCACCTTACACATTATTTACCCTAGAGCTGGAATCAGCCAGTTCTCTAGGGAGCCCTACCTAGTTTTGGTGGTAAAAGTTATGTGGAGACCATAATCTAGATACCTGAATTTTTATTGCTGAAGGACTTTTTTTTTTTGACAAGAACTAGAGGAGTTAATGTTAGCATCTTAAGAAAATCAAGCATGCTGAATCGTCCTTGGAGATCCTATATGGAGACTGAAATGATCAAGTTTTGTTATTTTTCCCTTATGTCATGGCTATGTTAAAAATCTTGCTGTACATAATAACATGTGTTTCTCTTTTGTACATATCTTTGTCGGACATCCACACTGACTTAATAACATGTCATGCCTATCTTTCACTTCCTATCATATATTAGGCTAGATGGCTCTTCTAGGTTAAGTAGATTTCATGTTGACCTCTATGGAAAGCTGCTGGGGCCTTTGTTGGTAAAAATAAATGTGCTTTTCTTTCTTCCTTTTCTAAAACAGTACACATGCTGCTGTCCAGATCCATGTGTTTCCAAATTTTGCTCAGAGGGAGGACAGATAAGAATTATTAGATACTGGAGATCATTCTCAGGGTTGATCTTTATAGTTTTCCAAGTAAAACAAAACAGAAACTTTGAAGAAAGGCAGAAAGTTACAAAGTCTTAGGCATAATGCCTTAGGTTCTTCCTTTGGGACCTTTAAGCCATGAAAAGAAATACCAGCTATTCAATTTATTAAGTAGATGCATCCAAATGACTTACTAGTAGTAGTCTGTGCAGTATGTTAGAGGTGTTGCTGTGTTTCCTTTGAGAATTTAAAATATTCAAGGTGCCCCTTTGAGTCACTGCAGCTCCCTGGAGCGGCACTGTTGGTGCCTTAAGAGCTGCATCCTCCCTTAGAACAGTGTTGTGAAAGTCATGTTATATAATAGCATATCCCTCCCTACTGTCATCACAGTGTGTCCTCAAGAGGAAACAGATCTTATAGAAACAGATCTCTTTCATATTAAGCCTTATTCAAGTTGAGATTTTAAAAACTATTTTAATTTGTACAACCTGGTTTTGCTAATACTAAGACTGGTACCCATAATATATGTTATTAAATGTGAAAGTAGGGAATCCAATTTCTGTGGAATTGGGGTACTTTAAGTCAGTGAGATTTGTATTTGGCCAAAATTATGCCTGAAATTCTGATTCTAGTTAAAAGAATTGTAGTCTTGGGTACTGTGAAAATTCTTAACTATTTAGGAATAGACAGGAAAATTTTAAACTTCACGGAATCTGTTATGCCATGTCATAGTGTAGATGCCAATCTAGATAAACATTATACAAGTTTATTATTTTGCCTTCAGAAAGTATTTTGCTATAAGGGGCTGTCTTTTGAGTCTGACAGCTTGAAAAATAGTTAGAGAAAAAGTCAGTAGCTTTGATGAAGTGAAGTCCATCTTCCTGCTAGCCATTTCCCAATAGGTTATCTGAGGTACTGGAGATGAATTAAGTCTGATCTTGGATGTCAAAAAACCACAAACAACTTATAAGTTACAGGAGGTTTTGGGGTAGCATTTATAATGGTCTCAATGACTGTCAAAAATTGTGCACAAAAATGCCCACTGTTTTTCCCTCCAGCTACTTAAAAGTCAGGTTGATGGTTACTTACTAGTTCAAATTGGATGTGATTAGAAATAAGTTCTTGGCTAAGTAACTTTGAGTTCTATGTATTTTTCCCCACTATGTAGAGAGATGAAAGAGAGCAGGGAGTGACCAAATGGGTAGCAAGAGAGATTTTTAGTTGGATTTGAGGTTCATTCATCCCTGAGAAACTAGAATGTTGCTGAGCTGAATATACAGTCATCATTTTGCAGGTTCTTCAGAAAAGTCATAGCCAACTTTCTGCAAAGGTTTGAGGAAAAGTTTGCTTATAGAGCAGTTAGTGGGCTACCTTCTAAGGATGTCTTTCAGTTCTGGATGTAGCATAGCCCTGGGCATGAGAACACCTTTCCCAACAAAACAAATTTCACATTGTCATCTGCCTAAATGAACCAGAGGGTTCAGGAGGCCATGAGAGGAGGGGTGAGAAGAGTCTCTTTATGTACCAGACTAGAGGAGTAAGAACTTCTGTGGGGTTTGAGACTCTAGCCTGTGATTTACTAGATATGAAGCTTCTGGTCTATTCAGTAATGTAAAAGATCAGTCTTATTTGTAGTATCTCAATTTTAGGTATCTCTTTTTCCTTGTGAGTTTCTTCTACCTCCTGTTTTAATTTTAAAGATCAAGCCAAATGTGAAAGGTTAGTAAACACTTCGTAAAATCTCAGTTGAGCTGAGGGTGCTGCTGGGAGGCTAATTCCACCATTGAGGTTCTAGAGGTGAAAGTCTGGTCCAGGGCAGTCATAGGGGGAAGAGGGGAAGGATTTGAGAGATCCAAAAGAAAGGGCAGTCGTTAAGGGGACCTGGGGTGATATGATGCTCCAGTATCTCTCCTTGAAAGTTATCTGGCCCTACACCTTTCATGTCCTCAGTCATGTACGAACTTGTGTCATCCATCTTTGAGCTGGGTGAGTCCAGTGATGTTCTGCTCTCCTATGCATCTGCTACACCTCCTTGCTTGGGACCAGTTTCTTCCCAAACACTTGTGTAGTAGTTGCCATCTGCCTGGCTCTGTGCTAAGTGCTTTCCATAGATTAACTCAGTCTCTCAGGATACCCTGAAGTAGGTCCTAATGTTAGTCAGCTCTCCATCACTACAATGAAATTCCTGAGATAATCAACTTAAAAAGAAAAGGTTTATTTTGGCTCACAGTTTTGGAGTTTCTAGTTCAAGATTGGAAGGTCACATTGCTTTTGGCTTTTGGTAGGCCTAATGAGTGACAATGGCAGGGTGTGCCTGGCAGAGCATAACTGCTCACCTCATGACCGGGAAGTGGAAGAGGAAAGGGCTGGGTCCTACAAGCCCTTCAAGGACCTCCCGTTGTGCCCCAGCTCCCCATGGTGTCATGATGGGGACCACCCTTTCACACATGGAACTTTGGGGGATTTGTCCAAAGTTTCAGTAATGTCTATGTTACAAAAGAAGAAATTGAGGCACCACATGGGTAACTTGCCAAGATGACAAAGCTCCCTTTTTTCTTTTAATAGGAGTTGTGGTTTTCAGGATTTCAACAGATAGAATTGTGATTGTAGACTTTTAGGAATTTTTATCTTTTGAGATTT